CTGCCCGGGACCTTTGCCTGTCATCCCTGCCTGTTATCCCTGCCACTGATCCCTGCCCGGGACCTTTGCCTGTCATCCCTGCCTGTGAACCCTGTTCCCTGTCCGTGTTCGGGCTCATTCCCTGCCCCTGCTCCCTGCCTATGACCCCTGCCCGTGTTCCTGACCCTGTCCCTTGTCCATGTTCCCCGCCCCTGCTCCCTGTGCGTGTTCCTGCCCGTGTTCCCTGCCCCTGCTCCCTCTCTGTGACCCCTGTTCCCTGCCCCTGTTCCCTGTCCATGTTCCCTGCCCCTGCTCCCTCCCTGTGACTCCTGTTCCCTGTCCCTTATCCCTGTCCATGTTCCTGTCCATTCCCTGCCCCTGCTCCCTCCCTGTGACCCCTGTTCCCTGTCCCTGTTCCCTGCCCGTTCCCTGCCCCTGCTCCCTCCCTGTGACTCCTGTTCCCTGCCCCTTATCCCTGTCCATGTTCCTGCCCGTTCCCTGCCCCTGCTCCCTCCCTGTGACCCCTGTCCGTGTTCCTGCCCGTTCCCTGCCCCCGTTCCCTGCCCTCGGCAGTGGCCCGGGTGGGGGTGATGCTGGCCCAGAGCTGGCTGCGGGGCACTGGGGTGAGGGGAAATACCCACCCCCGTGCCAGCTGCGGCAGGAACAAACACTCCAGCATGGGGTGATTGCAGCAGAAACCACGCGGTGCTGATTTAATGTTTGTTTTTCAGTCCCTCTGTGACACTTTAGCCTCTGTGGTGATTGAGAAACTCCAGCACTGCTGGAGAAGCAACGGGCAACCCCAGAGTAAGAGTCTGGTTTCTGTAGAGATGAGCCCAGTGATAGAGACAGACTTTTTAATTTGGGGGTTGTGATGTGGGTGGATGCTGCAAGTGGATGCTGCAAGATAAACCAGTTGCCAGGAGCTGCTATCGCAGTGCTCACCGTGGCACAGCAGGGATTGATGAGGAAGACAGGAGGGTTGGGAGTGCTCAGTTCCCCAGTTCTGCAGCTGGGGCCCATGCAGAGCCTGCAGCAGCGGGTGCTGACACAGCTCCTGCCCGTGTCAGACCGTCTCCACTCGGATCATCCGGCCCAGCTGTGACACACTGGTCCTGTGTGGAGGAGGCAGCAGGTAGGGATGGGTTACAGCAGAGTTTCCTGCAGGCTGAGGTGTGGGATGTGTGCCTGATCCCTGATCACAGCCCAGTTTTGGGGGAAACACATGAAACCCAGCCAGGGATACTGGAGTGTCCCAGGCAGCCACGCCGTGCCATGGCGCTGTGGGATCCCCACGCCCTGCAATGATAACCTGCCATTTCAGCCCACTTCTTCATGTTCTCTCATGGGCTTTTCTCTGGGGATTTACGTAACCCTCTACCAAGGAGGCAGGGACAAGCAATATTGTTGAGGAATATCCTACCTGGATGGGTTCAGCTGATGGGGGAAGGGGGGGCACTCATGGAGGCTCACCAGCACAGTGGCAGGGCAGCACGCTCTGAGTGCTGTGAGTTACTGACCTCCCAGTACAGCCATGGGCCCCAGGAGGCACTGGCCAGGCTGGAAGCACAGAACAGCTCAGCCTGGCTGCTCCCTGCCCGACACAAAATGCAGCAGCAGCTGAGCCCTTCCCTGTCCCACGACATCCAGCTGGCTCCCAGCTCGCTCCAGACGTGGCTGGCTGTGCAGGCTGACCACACGTGGTCATGGACACAGCCAGTGAGCTCCAAAGGTCATCCTGTGCCCGCAGCCCTGTCTGGGAATGTGGGATCTGCCAGCTGCCTCCGGCTGACTGGCAGCACACAGAGCATGGCCAGGGCACTTCCCAGCCCCAGGCATCCTAAATCCCTTCCAGACCCTCTTCCACACCAGCCTTAGAGCCACAGCTGGAGGCTCCTGGAGCATCTACACTGCCTGGGAGGCAATGGGGCACCCTGGCACCCCAGAACAGCCTTCTCAGATATCCCATTCACCCCTGACCTCAGCACCACTCCAGACAGCCTGGAGTCACAAAACCTTCCCACCACTTCTCTTCAAAGAAAAAGAGACTTTGAGACATCTCAATTACAAAATACATTTCAAACTCAGGTGTCACACATAGCACTGAGCTGCTGTGCAGGTGGAAACCAGGAGGCTGGAACAGACAGCTGTTCCCTTCCCATGGTGCTGCACAGTGGGACACAGAACTCGCAGGATGGAGAGGGACATGAAACAGGATTCTGACCCAAGTGACCTGGAAATCACTTCCAAGCACCCTGGTTCTTTCCTTGACTTGCACTTCTCCTTTCCAGTGGCAGAACTGGGATTTCCAGTCTGTTCCCATGCCCACAGGGACACCCCACACTGGCCCTGCACCACACAGGAGGAACAGCACAACGTGACATGTGCCAGCAGAGTCCCTCCCTCCAGCACTTCAGTGCTGCTCCTTGAGTGCACCAAACCCTAACAACCCCTATGGGGACACATGAGGTTTATGGCAAGGGAGCTGAAGCTGAAATTACAGGCAGTGAGGACAAGCCCAGAGTCTTGGTTGGTGGCTGCACATTGCAGCACATCTGAGCAGTGTTTGAAGACTGGCTGTGGCTGTAGGAGGCACCCAGAGATTGGGCCCGGCCTGGGGAACTCTGTACACAACCCCACAGGGCCCCATCCTTGGCCCAGTTCTCCTCAGCATCCTCATTAAATACTTTTGCTGCTTCAAACCTCTTCTCTGTCCTTTGCTGAGTTGTTTGCTGGGGCTGGGCTTCTGGGCTGGCTTTTTGGTGGGTTTGATTTGATTTGTTAACTCCGGGCTTATTGCTATTCCATTGTCAATAGTGCGTAGCAGAAAGAGCTGAGATTTAAGAGAACTCTTTGGAACCTCAACCACAGGCTGTGTGTTGTGGTTCTTGTGCTTTCACAATCCCTTTCTTTCCAGTTTTTCCAGTATGGCCTGAATTCTGTGGACGGACTCTTTCCTGGCCTGCCGGACACTGTCCTGGCCCCCAGTCTCAACGGAATCCAGCTCCAGCAGCAGCTTGGTCAACATCTCCTCCAGCAGTCGGTAGGATTTATCTGTCTTTTTCCCTACAAATTCGTCCACCTCTTCCTCCAGCTGTTCAGCCTCCCCCATCACGTGGAGGATCCTCTGAATCTCCGGCTGCATGGCTGCAGGACTCGTGGCAGGCTGGTCAGCAGGTTTGAAGCCCAGCTCCTGGCTCCTGGCCATGGGCTTGCGAGCAGCGAGGTCATAGAGCTGGGGCTGGGCACTGTACTGCACCCGGGGCTGGCACGGGGCAGGCTTGGCCGCCCTGTGCTCGTTCACTGGCCCCGAGAGCCGCTGGTTGCCATCAGAATAGTAACTGTGCTGGCTGGGGCTTTGCTCAGGTCTGTAGACAGAGTCCTGCAGACAGAGGGAGAAAACATCTCTAAGTGCATTTCCCTTCAACCCGGAGGTTTCCGCTCTCATCCTGCGCCAAACAGCAGACAGGGCTGGGGACGCTGGGGACAGGGACCTGTGCTCTGCTCCCATGTCAGAAAGAGAAAGCCCAGCAAGGGGCACCTGCCCAGAGCAGTCTGAGCCCTGAACCCCCCAACAGGGCTGCTACTGCCAGGCACCAAAAACATGGAGTCACTTAATCCCTGATCCAACCTGGCCTGTCAGACCCATTTCAAGACCCACCCCAGGACATCTTGTCCTTCCAGTACTTTATGGAATTGCAGCCAGGGATTTAAGTCTTCTGCATGCACACAGGACCTCACCTGTCCCTGTGACTCCCAGGTGGGAGGGTGGGAAGCAGCCCCGCTGCTGGTCCAGGATGGGTGTGAATCCGAGACGTAGAGGCTGCCGTGCCCCGAGGCGGGCCAGGCGTAGCGAGGCTGCGCCCCATAGCCAGAGTGGGGGCCCCACGTGTCCTCCAGGGCTCTGGGCTGTGGCACCAGGCCCTGCCCCGTGAGCCCTGTGCTGCTGTCCCCGTATGGATACTGCGGCACTGGCATTCCTGGGGTCTGCACAGACAGGGAAACAGGCGTTACAGAGGGGTCACTGCCAGCCCTGCCCCCTCACACAGCCCTGGGAGCTGGGACGGGCATTGCAGGGGGGTCACTGCCAGCCCTGGGAGCTGGGACAGGCATTGCAGGGGGTCATTGCCAGCCCTGGGAGCTGGGACAGGCATTACAGGGGGTCACTGCCAGCCCTGTCCCCTCACACAGCCCTGGGAGCTGGGACGGGCATTGCAGGGGGTCACTGCCAGCCCTGTCCCCTCACACAGACCTGGACAGGCATTGCAGGGGGGTCACTGCCTGCCCTGGGAGCTGGGACGGGCATTGCAGGGGGGGGTCACTGCCAGCCCTGTCCCCTCACACAGCCCTGGGAGCTGGGACAGGCATTGCAGGGAGATCATTGCCAGCCCTGTCCCCTCACACAGACCTGGACAGGCATTACAGGGGATCACTGCCAGCCCTGTTCCCTCACACAGCCCTGGGAGCTGGATGGAACGGCTGCAGCTCAGGTTGGCTGCCCAATTCCCACTTTCCCAGCCCAAAAGCTGAGGGTTTCCAAAGAACAGGGTGACCACCAGTTTTGGTAAGATTAAAGCAGGCAGGACAAGACACTCCAGAGCCACGGGCACCCCCAGCCCACCAGAGCCTTTTCCCCCTGCACAGCCCCACGACACGTCCCGGGCACCACTCGTGCCGCGCTGGCAGTGCCCTTACCTGTGGCGGGGAGTAGCTGGGGGCCTGCTGCCTGCGGAGGGCCGAGCCCTCGGGGGGACACTCCGGGGGGCCGTAGCTCCAGGCGGGAGCGGGCGACGGGGGCCGGTAGAGGCCCGCGGGCTCCGGGGGGTAGGGGCTGCGCGCGGGCCCCGAGCAGTAGAAGCCCCGTGCCTGCGGCAGGCTGGCGTAGTGCGGGTACGGGGGGCTGTAGGCTCCGTTGGCATAGGGAGAATCCATGGCCTGGGGACAAGGGAAGAGCACAGGGAAGGTGACGGGACATGGACACAGGCAGAGGTGCTCCAGGAACAAGGTCTGGCCCTTCCTGCATTGAACCAGGGGGTTCCTTTGCCCTCAAGTGATCTGCCCCAGTTTTAGGCTTTCCTGGTCTAACCTGGCTGTACCAGGTCTAGCACTAAGCTTAACCAGGTCTTGCTCAGCCGAGCTGGGCTCAGGGGGAGGCGTGCAGCCCCTCACAGTGAGCAGCTCCTGGAGGATTCTATGCCAGTACTGCATCACTGACGGGAGGATGGAAAACTCTCCAGAAAAGTTCATTTCCCTGCTGATTCTCAAACAGACGAGCTCTGCCAGCCAGTGTTCAGCTCCTGGAGCTCCTAGAGCTGCAGCTCATGTGCATCTCTGTACGGAAGGTCTGCACACCCAAGGACATCCGAGGGTTTACCGGGATCCATCCCATGTTGTGTAGGGAACTCGAGTTTCCACCTGACAGCAGAGGGGATGTGAAGCACAGGCTTTCAGGAGCTCGGGGAATGACTCCCTGTACCTTCGGGCAAAGCAGTGTTCTGCCCCTGAGCTGCTTCCAGAGCGCAGGCTGTGCAGCCTGTGTGCCGGGATTTATGGAAGGGCTGGAGAAAAACCAAACCAAACCAAACCAGACCAAAGCACGGCTGGAGGGCAGAGCCTGCCCCGGCCGGGCAAAGCCCTTCTCGCCACACGGAATTTGCACGGCAGCCCGAAACGCAGCTGCCATAAACGCCGCAGGTACGGATCCGGGAATGCCCAGCCCCGTGACCGGGGCCCTCCCGCTCCGCAAAGCGCTCCGGGCCCCGCGTTCCCGGGATCCCCGCACGGCACAGGCGCCCGTGAGGCGGCTCCGCCGGCAGCGCCTCCCCGCGCTGCTCTCCGCCCCGTCACACGCCCGGAGGGCTCCGCGAGAAACCGGCGGGGCGGGGGAGGCTCCCGGGGCCCGCCCTGCGCGCCCGTTATCGGGGCAGGGCCGGGCCGAGCGCTGCCGCCCGCCCCGGGAATTGTGCCGATCCCGGGGCCGAGCCCTCCCGGGGCCGAGCCCTCCCGGTGGCCGAGCCCTCCCGGGGCCGTGCCCTCCCGGTGGCCGTGCCCTCCCGGGGCCGTGCCCTCCCGGGGCCGTGCCCTCCCCGGTGGCCGTGCCCTCCCGGGGCCGAGCCCTCCCCGGTGGCCGTGCCCTCCCGGGGCCGAGCCCTCCCGGGGCCGTGCCCGCCCCTCGCCCCCGTTACCTGCGCGGCCGCCGCGGGCGGGCCCGGCCCGGCCGTGCGGGGCTCCATGGTCGCCGCCAAGGCCACGCCCCCGCGCGCCCCGCGCCCAATCGGCGGCCGCTCCCCGCCCTCGCCGGCCAATCGGCGGCGGCCCCGCGCGCACGGCTGGCGCGGCTTAAAAGGGCAGCGGCGGGTGGGCCCCGCCCGCGCGGGCGGTTCCGGGGCGGCGGCGGCGGCGGCGCATGGCGGCGCTTCCGCTGCGGGCGCGGCGGCACCATGAACTACATGCCCGGCACGGCCAGCCTGATCCAGGACATCGACAGTGAGTGTCCCGGGGCGCCCCGCCCCGTCCCCTCCGTGGCCCGCCGGTGCCTGCCCTGCCCCCGGGTCCTGCCCGCGGTTCCCCGTGCGGCGCCCGGACCCCTCTCCCCGTAGCGGGTCCCGGAGCCGTGGGGCCGTGGCCGACCCGCCGCTCTCCTTTCCCGCAGAGAAGCACCTGGTGCTGCTGCGGGACGGGCGGACGCTCATCGGGTACCTGCGCAGCATCGACCAGTTCGGTACGGCCGGGCCGCGGCAGCGCCGGGGATGGCGAGGAGGAGGAGGGAGCGCTGCTTGCCAGTGGGCTTGTGCTGGGGGTTGAACCCCCCCCTCTGTCCCCTGGACCCCTTCTCCCACACCTGGGAGCTCCCCGTCCCGCCCTTGCATCCAGTGCTGGCGCTCTGGCGTCGCTTTCTGGGGAGAAGCAGCCGGGTGATGTTATGTTCGTCCTCCGGGTGATGTTCATCCTCCGGCCAGCACCCCGAGCTTGCAGCACCACCATCGCCATCATCTTCTGTGCTGCGGGGGCCCGGGTGGGCTCGGAGCCGCGGGGTGGGGACAGTGTCGGTAGCTTCGGTGACCCGGCTCCGGGCAGGCACCGAGCGCCAGGGGAGAGCCAGCGCCGGTGCTGCTCCGGTGGGACGGGGGACACTGCTCGGCCACAGTTCGCCGTGGAACGTCGGTGTTTTTCTCTCTGTCTCGTTGCTGCAGCAAACTTGGTGTTGCACCAGACTGTAGAGCGCATCCACGTGGGCAAGAAGTATGGGGACATCCCCCGGGGCATCTTCGTGGTGAGGGGCGAGAATGTGGTGCTGCTGGGGGAAATTGTAAGTGCTCGGCTCCCGCTGCAGTCTGGGCCCGGGCTGGGGGGTTGTGGTCTGCCTGTCTGTCTGTCAGCTCTGAAATGCGGTTGCTGTTGTGGGCTGGAATCGGAGCCACCTCCAGGGCCAGTTTAGGCTGAGCCAGCACAGAAATGCCAGCCTGCATGGCAGGGCAGCCTCCTGCTGCCGCAGCCCCTCTGGGATGACACCAGAACGAAGAACAACGCAGAGGGAGCTGTGGGGAAGCTCCAGCTTGTGTGGCACTGCTGGAGGCTGTCATGCTGGCTGCCTGTTACCTCCCTGCAGACACCACCTGGGATGGGCTCAGGAGGAGCCGAGCGCTGTTTGCTTTGGGGTGCCCAGGAGCCCCTTGCCAGGGCTGTGCTGGGGATCCCTGCCCACATCCCCAGCCCTCAGGGCGCTTCCAGCACCTCTGTTCTCTGTCAGCCCCACCGCTGGCTGCCGCGGGGGCACAGGTGCCCTGCGGTCCAGGGACGCTGTCAGAGCTGAGGGCTCGTTTCTCCTGCAGGACCTGGAGAAGGAGAGCGACACGCCTCTGCAGCAGGTGTCCATCGAGGAGATCCTGGAGGAGCAGCGGGTGGAACAGCAGGCCAAGCAGGAGTCGGAGAAGCTGAAGGTGCAGGCGCTGAAGGAGAGGGGCCTCTCGGTGCCGCGGGCCGACACGCTGGATGAGTACTGAGGTGCTGCCCTTTCCTGCAAGGAGCGAGGGCTGCTCCAGGACCTGCCTGGGCAGGGACAGACTGCCTTGGAAAGGCAGGTTTCATTTTCAGATTGTATTTTCTGTGGTGCTGGTAACTGCACACAAATCATGCCCTTAGTCTCCTTCTGGAGAAGGAGATGAGGAGGGCCCAGTGCACTGGGAGTGCAAGCATTTGTGTTTGGGAGGCAAATCACTGCTCCTTGGCTTTGTTTGCTTTTTCCTCCTCACGTGACTTTGGGTGAGAGTTTTCCTTGACATGTAAATAAATCCTTGAACCTGACATTGATGGCTTTCCGGTATTCTGGTCCTGGCAGTTCCCCCTCTCTCAGGATGAGCACTCCTCAGGCTAGCTCTTGTCCCCTCTGTGTGCTGTGCAGGGACAGACAGGCCCCCTGGTCCAGCCATGGGCTGGGCTCACTCTGAGAGAACACTGGAGCCCAAGGCAAGATCCTGCTCTGGGCTGGGGAGCAGAACCTGGGTACCCCCGTACCCCAACACAGACCACTCGTACCCCCCAGCTAGGCTGTGCCACTCCCCTGCAGCTGAGCCTGCTAATTACCAGCTGAAAGCACTAATTACCTGCTGGTGAAGAGCTGCTGCACCTGGGACACGGCAGAGCCTGGAGCTCCAGCCCCTCCTGGCCTCGCTGCTGGGGGAGCTGCTGCAGCTGTACCAGGCTGGAGAGTCCTTTGCCCCGTGTGTCCCGGCCCTCCCTGGGGAGGAGAGTCCTTGGCCTCGGGGCTGGCTTTGGGCAGCTGCCAGGCCCCAGGAGCCTCCTGGGTGTGGGCAGGGAAGGGCAAACCTCGGCAGGCACAGTCCCTGTGGAACCTCGGGCAGTGGGAGTTCTTTGGGTGAAGAGTTCCTGCTGGGGGGCAGAGAACAAACAGCTCTGCTTGCTGGGGCTGAGCACAGCTGCCCTGGAGAGCTGACAGCTGTTGTGGCCACTGCTGGCCCCCTCTCACTGGCCCAGGGACCACTTGCTTTGGTGGGAAACATTTCTGCCCCGTTGGGCTTGAGTGGGTGTTGTGGATAGCAAAAGTTTAAACAAAGAAATGCTATTTCTTGTTCTAACAGAATTTAATAAAAGGCATTTATGGAGCTGGCGCCTGTGGCTGGAAAGTCTCTGGCAGGTGGGGATGGCTCTTTGGGGGTGTTTTTGCTGTCCCTGTTTGTTTGGCAGTGTTTTGGGGTGAGGGGGGATCAGGGCAGCGATGCCTGGGGGGAGGCAAGGGCTGCCCAGCCCCGGTGGTGGGGTCCCAGCCCTGCAGCCCAGGGCTTTGGGGGTGTGGGGAGCTGGTGGGGGTCAGGACATGGGCTCACTTTGCTGCTCTTGAGCCCATTATCTTATCAGGGCGTCGGGTCGACCTCTGTGGCACCAGGGGCTGTGGTTTGTCTCTGCTCTCCAAATAGCACCACAGGCAGCCTTGGGATGGGGGGACACCCTGGCCGGGCTGCTGCAGGAGGGACAGGGTCACCCCGACAGCCACCTCTGCTGCAGCCCTGCTGTGGGAACGGGCTGGGAGAGGGGAATGCGCTCGGAGGGGGCTGGGCTGGGCAGGGTGGGGGGTCAGGGCACCCTCAGGGCTCTTGGGTCCCTCAGCCTCCAGGCCCTGGTGCGGCTCCGGTGCCTTTGGTTGGCATCATTGTGGTTTTGTACATTTGTGAACGTTTGTACTTCAAGCCCTATTAGGTGAATGCAAGTGGAGCTGTGTGGTGACTTTGTGCAGGAGCCTGGGGGTGCCTCAGGGGGCTGTGGGGGCTGGGGTGTCCCAGTTAACCAGATCCCCCTGAGGGTTCTGAGTGCTTTTTGGGGTCTGTGTCCTGCTTTGGGGTGTGGCCACCTGCAGCATTTCCTCACCAGCACGGTGTGGCTGTGCCCGTGTCCCCTCCTGAGGGCACAGCTGGGGTCGTGCCCCTCCAGCCCGGAGCCAGAGGGGCGGCTCTGCACGGTTTGTTTTGGTTCTTCTCACAAACAACTGCGTGGCCTTGTGCCGAGGCCGGGAGCGGCGGCTCCATCCGGGAAAACAGCCCTGGATCACTCAGAGCCTGGGGCTCCCCGGGGCTGTGTGTGCCTGCTCCTGGGGCAGGGGACTGCACTGGGATGGGACTGGGAGAGCTGGGGTGGGACTGGGACTGCGAGGGCTGGGGCAGTGCACAGCACTGGGGTGGGACTGGGAGGGCTGGGGCAGTGCACAGCACTGGGGTGTCTCTGGTGGCCCCAAACACCCAGACCTGTCACTGCTCTGCGTGTGCTTGGCCAGAGCTCTGGGCTGGACACTCCTGGCTGAGACTCAGGGGTTCCAAACCCTCCTGGGTCTCCCTCTCCCCATGTGCAGGGAGATGGGAGCAGGTGGGTGAAGCCCAGAGGTGGGGAGAGCTGTGGCATCACCCGGGAATCACACCTGTGGGAGCATGGCTGCAAAGAGGAATTCCCAGTAAAGGTTTTGGAAAGGGATGGTGCAGTTTCTGCCTCCTCCTGATGCCTCCAGCACCTCCCTCTAACCCCACACTGCTGACCTGAGCCTGAGGTATTTTCTGGCACACAGTGGAGGATGGCAGCCCTGACAATACAGAGGAACATCCCGTGGGGCAGCAGGACCCTTCTGGAGGGCAGGTGGGACTCAAATCATCTCAGGAAAGCTGGGGACAGGCTGGGGGAGACAAAGGGCTCCCTGGGGCCGGGCTGCTGGCACAGTGAGGGGGTGACCCCCCCCGGGCCAAGCTGTTGAAATGGGGGAGCAAGGTCAGGCTCCCTGCAGGAGGGTGCAGGGGCTGACGTCAAAGGAAGCAGCTGTAATTCACAGGTTCCTGGGAGTGCTGGTCTCCAAGCCGTAATTCATCCCAGAAATGTCATTTCAGCCTTGAGCATTATCGCTGCTCTGCTGTGTCCCACTGCTGGGGCAGATAACGGGGCCCAGGGAGTAGGGGGCTGCCTGGGGCTGCCCCTCACTTCAGTCCCAGGCTCAGCAGCTCGATGTATTTCATGTTGTGTTTTATGGGCTGTCCTGGTTCTTGTGCACAGCGTGTGCAGAGGCTCAGCCTGGCTTGTTATTCCGCAATAGTTGTGCTGTGAGAGGGTGTCATCCAAAGTGATCCCTTATTATCCATTGTTACCCATCACATTTGGACTCAGTGACCTTGGAGGACTTTTCCAGCCTCAATGACTGTGCCACTGTGCTGGTCTGTCACCTGTCACAGGTGGTGATCATGCTGTGAGCCCCAGGTCCATCCCTGCAAGGACGGCCTGCCAGGCAGGGCAGGAGCTGCTCGGGGGGCTCTGCCCACCCGTGCCCCCCGGGCTGGGGGTGCTGGGGGTGCTGCGCTGTCCCCGCACGCTCCCAGCCCCGTGCGCTGCCCGCGGCCCCGGCGGGCGCGTGGGGAGCCGGGGCTGGCCTTGGCCCGCGGGGCCCGGCCCGGAGTGACGGCTCTTATCTCCGGCTGACGGGGCAGAATCCTTCAGCCCCGCGTACTTAAGGCCGTGCACGGCGGGGCCAGGGCAGAGCAGCGCTGGGCGCAGACGGACGGACACCGCGGCCACCACTGCAGCCACCACCACTGCGGCCACCACCACTGCCAGTGTCACTGGAGCCACTGCCTCTGCCACAGCCAGCGCCACTGCCCAGCCCACGGCTCCGACCCCGCAGGGAGATGCTGCCAGCCACGTCCAAGCTCTGCGCCGCCATCTCCTACCGCCACCTGCGCAACATGACCGGTGAGTCCGGCTGCGGCCCGGGGCAGCCCCTGTCCGGCTGTCTGGGGCAGGATGGAGCCGGGGCAGCCCCTGTCCGGCTGTCTGGGGCAGGATGGGGCTGGGGCAACCCCTGTCCGGTTGTCTGGGGCAGGATGGGGCCGGGGCAGCCCCTGTCTGGTTGTCTGGGGCAGGATGGGGCCGGGGCAGCCCCTGTCCGGCTGTCTGGGGCAGGATGGAGCTGGGGCAGCCCCTGTCCGGCTGTCCGGGGCAGGATAGAACTGAGGCAGCCCCTGTCCGGCTGTCTGGGGCAGGATGGAGCCGGGACAGCCCCTGTCTGGCTGTCTGGGGCAGGATAGAACTGAGGCAGTCCTGTCTGGCTGTCTGGGGCAGGATGGAACTGAGGCAGCCCCTGTCTGGCTGTCTGGGGCTCAGGGATTCTCTTCCCCCTGCCACAGGCAGAGTTTCTGACAAAAGTTTATTAGAGAAGCTCCTGTTGAATCACAGGCTCCAGAAAGGACTCTCTTTCTATCTAAACTCCTCAGAGTGGTGACTGGGGCCTCGGCAATGTTCTGCCCACTCTGTAGCATGCTGGGTTCTGTGATCTACCATCCCTGAAACCCTGAGCCCTGTCACTGGGACCTGAGGGGCTGGCTCATGTCCCTGTGACCAGTTCAGGGTCCCAATCCCTCTGGCTGTGAGGGTTTTTGTGCTCCATTTCCATGCTCTTTCCTGGGCACCTGCACGATGCTCCTCAGTGTTTTTACTGCTGCATGGCTGGAGCCAAGCTCAGGATTGCTCAGGACAGCCTACCCCAGGGCAGTGTGATGGCAACCAGCTACTCCCTGTGTCTGTAGGGACACCAAGACAGTGACAAGTGGGGACTTTTCCATGTTTAAATTGGGGAAAAGCCCACGGCTGGGCCCGGGCAGTGTGGAGCTGTGGGTGACACACTCTCTCCCCCAGGTCTGAGGAGACAAGCCGCTGTGGCCATCAGCCAGGAGCTGAGCAGGCTGGCCAGCCGCAGCCCAGGACCCAGCACCTGGATCCACCAGGTGCGCAGGAGAAGCTCCTTGCTCAGTAAGTGACACCTGAGGGGTCTGTTCCTTCCTGCTGGGGAGAGACCCTCACAGGCTGGGGAAAAACCTGCTTGAGGGTGGGCTGTGCTTCTGCTGAGCCACAGGCAGAGTGGGAACTGGGTGTAACCCCCATCCCCTGGGCACAGAGAAAGGTACTTGGTGCAGGTAAAGCTCACCTGGCACACTACACTGCTCTTGCTCAGCCCTGCCTTTGTCTGGTGCTGGCAGGCTCAAGGCTGGAGGAGAAACCCTTCAGCGAGATGCAAATGTCTTACATCAAGCAAGGAGAGGAGGCCCTGCAGAAATCCCTAAGAATCCTGGAGGACCAGGACGACTGGAAGACAGAGACGGTGGCGGTGGGTGCTCTGCCCGTGGTGCTGCCTTGGAGCCCTCCCCTGTGAGCAGCTCTGGTGGCAACTCTGCCATCCCCTCCGCAGGGTAACGGAGACAAAGTGCTGAGCAAGGTGCTGCCGGACGTGGGGAAGGTGTTCCGGCTGGAGGTGGTGGTGGACCAG